TATTCAATAAAGTTTCTGTTTCCATATTTGCATCTATTTCTTGACTCTGTTCAATAGTATTGTTGTTTGTTGCTGTTATTTCCATGTTACTGTTCAAAGTTCCTGCTCCAGAGCTTAAAAGGTTATAACCTGTCTGGATAATTTCTCCTATACTTAAACCTTTCTTGCTGATGCTTATTGTTTCATGTTTCTTTTTAGTTCCATAGTTTGCTGTGGTTTGTCTGGGACGTGTACATTCACCCTGCTTTTCCTCGTTCATGTTTTGCTGTTGTTTGTATTATTTGTTTGTAGTGTTTTTTATATTTTTCTCTTCCTTGAAAATTCTGGCAAAATGATCGTTGGAAAGAGTTTTTTTTTTGAATGATAACATATGTGATTAGCTTTGATATATAATAGATTTGCAATCCCATGTGTTAATCATTTATCTTATTTTAATTTATTTCTTTTATTATATTTTTATTTATTGTTGATATTTATTTTCTAAAATGAATTAGTAGATTCGTTACATTTGGTAGCAGTGGTAGTTTTTTCAACCCAATCCTTTTGTTAATCCTCTGTTTGAACAAATTCAACCTTTGTTTTTCTTTACTTAGTTGTAGCTAAGTAAACCCAACCCAATTCAGATTCTTGTTATTCAGAACCAGCTGAATAAAACTCAACCATAATATATTAATTTCACCATTCTGTCACATGATAATATTTTCTTTATGTACAGTAATTCGCAAAATGATATATTGTTACCTTATGTTTAGTATCTTTAACTTTGGTGGTAATAATAATAACCCAGAAGACAACTAATCTATCTCAGACGAAGATACAACTTCTGAAAACTTTGAGTTTGACTAACTTTTTGCTAAAGTCAAATTATACCTATATAGAAGTCAGTATGAACAATACCTACAAGAAGTTTCATCTGAAAGAGATTCTAATTTCCAAGATTTTGAGTCTTATTGTCATTTCCTCAACTTAACCTGACTTTTAGAGAAAGAATTAAACCAAGTTCGTGCTCAAGTAACTCAAGAACTTGTCTAGAGACAATTACAAGAAGTCTAATCAAGATTAGCTATATCATCACAATTTTCCCCATTAGAAATCTCAAATCCATTCGAATTTATATCTACTTAAGAAACCCTCCAGGCTTTTAATTATAATGAGAAAGAAGAATATAACCTTGCACATATTTTTCCTGAAGAAGTTTATAGTGAAGAAACTCCTGAAATCCAACCTCAATTACTACATCGACAAGAGCCACAGCAACCACAGCAACCGTACGAAGAACCTCCAACCCTAACTTATTTTTCACTAATCAAACCCCCATCCGAAACCTTCCACAAGTAACCTACCCACAAGGAGAAACTTTTGCTGAAAGCAGTAGAACTTCATCACAACCCACTGAACCCCAGCAATTTATTATACCTCTTTGTGACGACGACGAAGATGCCACCTCGGAAGAAACTCCAGTAATAAATCCTGAACCTACCCACGAACCAGTGAATCTAGAGGAAGAAGCAGCAAGTGTACTTGCTACTCTAGCTAATTATTTTAGAAATCTCAGACCAACCCAACCAGAAACTCAAAACTTACCTAAAAACCTTCTCCAGAGAACTGCTGATCTTCCGCGAACTCAAGAAGAAATCGAATCCATCCATCCCCAAGACAAAACCTTTCCAGAGATCTAACCTGCTGAAAATAACCCTGAGAATAACAATAATAATATTTTAAATTTTAATAATTTATTTAATTTTGGAAATCAAGAAAATAATAACTTACCTGGCCTCAACTTGTTTAATGCTAATCCTACCCTCGAAAAACTTGAAAATATGGATCAAGCTCAATTTAATACACTAGTACAAGCTTTGACTGGGCTTACTGCTCAACTGAATAATAATACACCTGCCCCTGCTCCTACATTACCTGTAACCATTTCACTTTTCTATGGCCGTCCACATGAAAATGTTAATTCATAGTTCATCTCTCTTGAAAATATTTTCACTACTTGAGCTATTGTAGAAGATATAACTAGAATTCGATATGCCGCTACAGGAATGAAAGATGCTGCTGCATCTTGGTGAATGAATAAACTAATAGTCAAACCTGATATCACACAAATTTGGAATGATTGGGATGTTTTCAAAATCAGTATAAAAAATTCGTTTCAACCTGAAAATTATCAAATATATCTAAGAGATCAATTAAAGAGACTTAGACAAAATAGTTCTGTACGTGACTATGC